TGTGTTTTCTTCAAAAATTACTACAATGAATTTTTGCAAAGTTTTTATTTTTCTCTTTCCATGATTTAGAGTGTATTATAATAAAAAAAATTGCCTAATTACACTTTTGTTTATAATTTTTTTCTCCAAAAATAATGATATTTCAGATAAAGTGGTTATGAAACCGTATTTTTCAAACCACATCTCTTTTGTAGCAATTTATCAATATTTTTAAGAGACAAACTAAATCATGCTGATACTAATATTTAGGTTTTCATGAAAATAATTGAAGCAAGTTTCATTATTTAAAACGCAAATATTTGGAATACAAACATTTAAATTCAGCTAGATCACTTCAGCATTTCGAACGACCCAGCAGTTTTTTGCTAGAATCTGCTATCAAGCAAAGAGCATTCATGATTGCTTTCGTCTCTCTGGCGAATATGCAATATTCCACTGGCAGATTATACAAGAGGCGATTCTCCTTAATGGTCATATCACAGCTGCACAATCATTATCAGTGTGTATGGAATCAATTTTTTATATTATATATTATAATTATGATACTAATAAATTTAGATTAATGAATTTTTAAATTGTTTATTCATCAAAACGAGAAGCTTAATTTTAAAATCTTAAATATTTAAATTATATATTAATTAAGTGGAACCTCAGACATACAGTTGTGACACCCTGTTTGAAAAACTAACGATTTGAATGTTATTAGTTTTCTAGTCGTAGAAACACTTGAATCCATGTGTGGACTGGATGGACTTATTGACTTATTATTGGATTCTTCGAACGCAATAATTAAACAACTGTTGTTTAATTATTTCTTCATAATATTATATCAATTGATTTATACAATATTCTATTTATTTATTTATTTTTGTTATTTTAAATTTGCCACTGCGTTGGAACGCATCAAGCAAATGTGTTGGTGTTAATTATATCTTCTTGAATTCCTGATATTTTCTTAACTTTTCAGCAGATCTCTAGGCCACTGCCTTTTTAGTCGTCTTTGAGGCTCACCAGGTAACAGGGCGGAAGATAGAGAAAGAACGAGTGGATTTGGATAATTGAGAGTAGAAGAGTGAAATGTGTACTTGTGTATGTAGGATTTTCCTTTTGGAATGTTCATGTCTTTGTGTATGGTGTGATTTGAAATTAACCAAGGAGCATTTCATTCCATCATCTTAATTTATTTCTTTACTCTATTACAATACCTTTGTATTGTTAATATTTCAATTAAATAGTTATTTAATTCTTAATTAATTAATATCGTTATTCATCTATAGTCATCTGTTTATACCATTTCACGAACTTTCATTATTTATTTATTTTCTCCTTCCATAATTAATTTATCAAATTCTTCCTAAGATAAATATTTAGCCTTTTTTTTATTCTTGCTGTCAATGAGAGATAGCTAATTATTTAAAAATAAATAAATTTAAGATACTTTAGAGAAATCTATTTTGAACATAGGGCTTAGGTGCCCCTGTTATGTGACATCAATGTGGATAAAATCTATCATATATTAAATTTAATTTAATTTTACATTGATATAATGAGTTTAATGAAAATCGTTAAAGTGGTTTTTGAGAAAATTGTAAAACCGATGATATAAAGTGGCACTTTCAGTTAGCTGATTTTAACAAAAAAGTAGCTGTCACAATGACATATCTACCTTAAATATGTAATTTCAGTTTCGTGCAACTTTTCGTTTTTCAACTAGATTGTTCTCATACAAACAGACCATTTTATGGTACTTGGTTATTTGGACTCAGGAGACCTCAAATCTTTTATTTCAATAAAAGAAATTGTTCGGAGAAATTGGAATATATTGTTCGGAATTTGTACAATCTTTCTTTGTGCAGACAGGATAATGCATTCAATATTAAAATTTCTTATTTTTTTATGATATGGTGCAAATTCCGAACAATTTATTCCGCAATTTCTGAACAATAACGAGCTATAACTAATATAAGATTCCATAAAAAATCTTTTGCAAATGCACTAAACAGAAGGAGAGCTATGAGCTATAACTTTCTCCATATACCTCTCTATATCTCTATACCTCTCTATATATCTTCAAAGTGAAGATAGTCCCGATGTGCACCTTCAGCAATCGAAAATAAAGTGATTTTCACCATAATAAACCTACATCGTCCACTGAATATCATCCAAACTGCAATTGACCCCCTTTTAGCAGCATCTTGAAATATTCTGTTCAACTGTCTACTATACACTCATTTAGCTATATAATGGATACTGGTCCTTTTTATCTTTTCCAAGGTTTTGGCACTTCCTTTCTCGTTCACTTAATGTATTTTTCCAATTTTCTGGTTCAATTTCGCGGTTTTCCTCATTTCGAGACCAAATCCAAACAATCAGTTATGGTTTTTAGAAGAACTTATAGCGTCACCGTTTCTATCTTTCTTTGTGCATAGAGAATAATTCATTCAATATTAAAATTTCCTATTTATTTATGATATAGCCCAACTTCCGTACAAAATGAAGAAAATAAAAATTAATTTTTTAATTAGTGATATATGAGTTTTACTAAACAACCCGGTAGCTATTATTTGTATATAGTTCAGATTAGGTATATATTATTTTAGTTTATAAAACAGGTATTAATATGACTCATTTCCTGGGAAGTATATAAACATTTTAATTACCTCTAAGAACCAGTAAATATACAAAACACAGTGTTAAATTGCAAACGTTAAATAAAATAAAATCAAGATATTCATCAAAGTATTTTTTAATTAATTTTATTATTATAATTATATAATTTTTACAATTGAGGTCTTCTTAAACGAACTACGTATAGAATAAAGGAGGTTAAATTAAAAAAAAATAATAATACATTTTTTTTTAATTAATTTTTTTTTTACAATTAAATTATTGCATTAATATTTGTTCGTTAATAAAACCAATATAATGTACCAAAAATGTTATAAATCACTATAACTAAGGCATTTATGTGTACTGAATGGTGTGGTAGAGGCCTGTAAGCACCCACGCCAGTACCGCTTTTCTGCCGCATAAGTGCATTTTCTACGGAACTGCTTCAAATTTTTATAAAAATAATCAGCGTTTTTGAAAGAGAAATATATTCTCCAGATGTTTTATTTCAGCACGTTTTGCGTTATTGTAGGCTGTTTAATTACAAACGACGCTTGATTTGTAACTTGAAAATTTTTTTGTTAAATAAACTGACTTTACTGGTGTTTTTATAGCCTAAGCCAATTATTTTTTAATATTTCTTCATGTTTTACTATTCTATGACTATTAAGCTTTAATAAAAGACCAACTATGAGGAAATTAAGCCAAATGCTGATTCTCAGTGACCACAAAACTAACTAAAGTCAAAGTCGTCAATCCGCCATGTTTGGACGCCATTTTGGGGCAGTGCGTTCACTTTTTTTGTGGGAACATTGGCTTTTTTTTAATAAATAGTTACAAGGAATACAATGATATGCAATTTATAGGGATGTAGGGGAGGGATGCACGGTAAGGGGGTCTGGCCCACCGGGTATATGTCTAAATAAATAAAAATGTTTCAAAAGGAAAAATAAATAAAAAAATATCTTACACAATATGTGTTATTATTCAATTATCTAACACATTAATATCCCCTGGGCCAGAGAAAAAAAAAAAAAAACATATAGCCGAAAAGGCGATGTGGAGAAGAAAAATAATGTTATCTTTCAATCTTCACGAACATGTTTTAATATTATAATTGAATATAGGCAATATTCGTAAATAAATAAATATATATTAAACAACTAAATTAACTACATATATGTAATTTAACTTTATGCTTTTGGAATTAATTTTGTGAGGAAACGGAAAAAAAAAATTCCAACTTTCTTTATAAAGTCTTCTGACAAATGACTGCTAAGATTTGAAGGGATGTTGATGGAGAGACTGAAGGTGGGGAAAAGGAAAGTTACTGCAGATACTGTTCCATCACTGTCTTCGATTCAATGAAGAAACGGAATAAAAAAGTGCCTTGAAAAAATCTGTTTGGAGATCAACTCATGAAAAACTGACAGCAGCGCCATGGAGTGACACATATGTTCACTTTGTTTTGTTGTAAACGTATTTTCTCTGATTTAAAAAAAAAAAAATGTAGATTTATTATATAAAACTTAATTAATGCCAAGTAGCCTCAAGGACTATTATCTTCGCCTGCCCTTTTTAGGTCAAAGGGTAGTCAAAGGTATTACATTGCCTTTTCGAATAAAACAGCTTATTAAAATCTAAATATAAATCATTTCCTTGAAATCAAAACTTAAGTGTTATCCCGTCATTCCGCTCCAGTTAATATTTCAGTTCTTTGAATTATAATTTAAATAGTTGAAAAAAAAAATAGAAGAATTTGTCGATTTATTGCATTTTTGAAATTTTAAGAACGTTTTAGTGAATTATGGCTTATTTATTGGTTAAAAAAAATCATAAAGTGTAAAATAATAACAAGGAATATTTTATATATCAAACATAGTTACATCAGGCGCACAAATTTTGATTTCACAAAGGGAAAAGAAATCATAATTCTTAATGATATGATGTTATGAAAAACACATTTAATTAAATTTTGCAATAAAAAGAGGATATATTCACATACAAGTATTATTTTAAGACAAGTACTCAACTACAAATATAAATATGTAGGTTATAATTGGAAAAATTCCAACCACACAGTCTCATTTCTTCAAAATGTAGACAAAGAATAAAAAATAAAATAAAAATAAAACTGTAGCATCATTAGACAGAAAGGAACAGCACCCAGTATTTGCTATTCTCTTCTGTCCTGATGATTCCTGAATTTGCAAAACATTTTCGGTTTTTTTAAAAATTATTTTCCTGTATTTGGAGACATAATGTTGGGTGTTTGGAATTTTTCCAATAATAAATTAAGATTTATGTTATGTATATTAGTGAGTTTGTTACTAATTTATACTAAAATCCATGCGTAGTTTATTCAGAAAAAAAAAATTAACGACACTTACTCTATTCCTTTCATACTCTTGTCTGGACGTTTCTACGATCTGCGCGTTGGTAAGGGCAATGCCAACGAACTGTAGGTATGTTTCAAAAAGCTGTAAACAAAGAAAATAATAACTTTTTATTATTTTGAATAGACGAATTTGATAATTTGTTTTTAAAATAATAAAAAAATAGTTTATTTATATATTTAAATATTTTTATAATTTATTTTCAGTTCTCCTGTTAAAATTGATTATTTTTGTGATAAATGTGAAGCGTCTAGACAGGTTTGTTTCCAAATTTCGTTCAGATAGATCGCTGTGTCGAGGCGGTCAAACTATAATTTTCATCGGAAATAAAGAAGAATTATGGCATCTATGTTTTTCGATAATAAGAATGTCTATTCATAAATGTTTATAAATATTCGGACGTGGGTATTATAAACAAGGATTAAGCTGCGGCAGACCATCACTTAAGATAGTAATGACACGTAGGCACTAAACTATTCGTTTTATGACCAATAATGTCAATAGCATCTTTGATGCCCATCTTCTGAATCGAGAAGAAAATTTCTAAGTTAGTGTTGCCCAAATACGTGACCAAGGCGAGTCGTGGTCTTGCAAACTCAGTCTTGGTCATGGTCTTGGTCTTGCGCAAGAGTCTCACAACAGTCTTGCAGTTACTTATTAGCTTGTTACTATAAAGATATTACTGACATTTTTTAGATGTGAGAAACCTAACTAAGCCTGAATGAAAAATTAGAGGAGTTAAATGCAAAAGTATATTGGTTATACCAATTATTAACATATAGTAACTAAGATTGTCAAGTATTAGAAACTATTTTACCTTAACTTTTATTTCATAAATCAATTTTTTTACCAGTTCTGGTCTTGGTCTTGCAACAGTCATGTGGCCTTGGACTTGCTCTTGCAAAGTGCAATACCAAGACCGATTTTGGGCAACACTAATCAAAGCAGTCTAGTGTTCTAGTAAAAGTTGCAATTATGTAATGAATGTATACTGCTAAAGAAACATAATATACAGACCTTTTCATCCTTGTTAGTAAAATGCCCTCCATCTTTGTCCGGGTTCTTGTTGATCACTTGAGCAACAGCTATGATCTCGTCATGGGAATTTCGAACAGCCATACAAAGCAGTGATTCAGTGTGATATCCCATTATCCTGTCAACCTCGTCGTCAAATCTGGGATCCTAGAACAGAAACATTTGTTTTATTTTTCCTAACTGGAAGACTATAAGATGCAGGTATTGCATAAAAATTAATGCAAACATAATAAAAGTGCAAACATATACTAAATTAATGTATAAGATTACTTACTCAGCTGAAATAATTAAAATCCAAACACAAACAAATAAAAATTCATTAAGTAACATATCATAGGTACAATACAGTCAACAATATTGTCAAATAATGAATAGAACGATTATAAAATAAGCTTAAAGTTTTAATTTACAAGGATGAAAGTTGGGAACACAAACTGGGAAGTTTGATCTTGTTAAAGTAACCAGTAATAAATAGCTAACTTAAACGAACCTATAACATGAACATACAAAACTTATCCGTGCTAAATTCAAAATATAATAATTTTGTTTTAATCCTTCGTGTATAATATGCGTTTTCAAATAGCGATGTTTAAAAGCAGATGCTATTTATTTTTTTAAAGTATATATTTTTAGGAGTTTATTTAAAAAAGAAAATACACTATAATCCATTAAAATTTAATTATGGAATAATAATAATGAATATATAGTAACTTAGGCGTTTTTGGTATTATTTCTAGTGGAACAGACGAGGGCAGTAGTCATTAAGAAGATGTCACAGTTTTTTATTTTATTTTTTCCACAGATGTGGTACTAGTAAAACATAGACATCAGATTTTTTGTTTGTGTTCTGAAGCTATTTGAAACGGTGGTTTCCTTACAGCTTGTTTCACAGGCTGTTGATAAAATCCATAGGAAATTTGTTTACTTAAAAATTAATGTATGTAATAAATAGGTGACTAATTTATTGTTAAAGCAGAGAAACTAAAAAAAATGTAGGACATGGTCCGGGGTCACGGTCATAAATAGGCTGAATAGTGATAAAACTATTTTATTGAAAGCCGACGTTTCGACCCGACTTTGCAAGTCTTCTACAGGGCTAGAACGGACAAGATACAAAAAGATGGAGAATTGTGGCAGTTATATAATACTTAGACAGAATTTATAAACAATGTGAATGAGCTTATTAAAATTATATACAGTAAGTACATTAAAATATGAACAATGTAAGCTATGTAACAAAATCCTAAACTGAAGTAAATAGATGCTAACAATTGTTGTAGTGCAATATATAATAACTGCAAATGTGAATATACTTCTACGGATCGACAGGAGAGATTGAAAGATGATGTTACTTAGCTTACTTTGTTCATATTTTAATTTACTTACTGTTTATACTTTTAATAAGCTCATTCACATTATTTATAAATTCTGTCTAAATATTATGTAACTGCCACAATTTTCTATATTTTTGTATCTTGTCCGTTCTAGCCCTGAAGAAGACCTGCAAAGCCGGGTCGAAACGTCGTCTTTCAATAAAATAGTTTTACCACTATTTATGACCGTAACCCCGGACCATTTCCTTCCTTTATATTGCAACTATCAACTATTAAATATTCAATAAAAAAAAAAAACTGTATCGAAGGTATCAATCATTTCTTTTACATAACTTTGACAAAATATTTTCGGAAAAGCTAATATGTTTTCTGATAACAGCTACTCCTCCGGAATCAGTCATACTAACTCCGCCATTTCTCAGAATCTTGTAACCGAGAATATCCAAGTTTATATTAGTTGAAAGATGAGTTTCTGAAACACTTGCTATGCTAATGAAGTTGGTTTGTAGGACCATATTAAATTTACTTGTTATGTGACGAAATGCTTTCAAATTACAGTAAAAAAATATTTAATTTTCTTATTTAAGGGGTCATAGGCGAATTTAGACAATAACGATAAAAAAAGTAAGTAAACTAATAGCAATGTTCATATTCAATTAATATAAATGATATTATAAACTAAACATAAAATAATAAAATAAACATTTTAATTCTTCTCAAGTAAACGAAAACATGAGAATCAAGTAATTATACATTTTTCAGTAAATTTTTAAGCCCTTAACAAAAGAAATAATTTGTCGAAAAATGGGAAAAAGTAGTCTTTCTTCTTAAAATGTTCTGGTACAAAAATACACTAGATTTGATCACCATTCCTTGAGTATGACTCCAGTATTGTTGTTTTATTTATATATTTTAGGAAAATTTTATTCAGAGTATAGTCCATGACACAAACCACTTTTTATCAAATTATTGACATACACCAAAAACTTCGTCAATGGCTATTAATTATCGTAATCAACATTTTTTTTTAATGAACATTTTTGGAAATAGTTGGTTTTCAATCTGAAAATTGATAAATTTTTCATATTCAATGAGCTTTTCAAAAATCATGAAACTCCATTTCCTTCCCTCTTGATTTTTGAGGTAGTTTGATCACAACAGCATGAAAATATATAAATTTTTAAAACATTGGCCCATTTTACGTGACCTCAACTCTCAACATGTCATAATCACAATAATAATAATAATAGTACAAATGGAAAATCAGAAATATAATGCCAGAGGTCTTCAACCTACTGATAATAGTTAATCTACCAAAGTTTCGCTAATTCAGGCGTCGTCAGGCACGAAATCAAATCGATCATGCCTTGATACAACACAGTTGGCAAAGCAGTATAATCAATGTACGGTCTTATCGCGGAGCAGAATGTGGGTCGCATCATGAATTAGTAATCGCGAAACTTCGACAAAAACTTAATATAAAAAAGAGAAAAGAAAACCGTTTCGATTTTGAGAATTTTAATTTGGAAAAATCAAAAAATCCATCAATTAGTAACCAATTCGAGCTAGATGTTAAGAATAGGTTTGAAGCTTTAGAGCTTCCTGACGAGGACCACGAGGATATTGACAAGTTATGGGTAGAAATCAGGGATAATATTAAAGCGGTCGGTAACTCGTGTCTAGGAAAAAAGGAAAATAAGAATAACAAACCGTGGTTTGATGAAGATTGCTTAAACATGTGCGAAAAAAGAAAAGCCGCTAAATTAAAAGCTCTAAATAATCCTAGCGAAGACAATCTGGAATACTTCCGAATCTCAAAGAACGAAACGACAAAATTGCTCAAAAATAAAAAAAGGGAGTATCTAAAAAATAAAATAATTGAAATAGAAACTAATAGAATCGAAAATAACGTAAGAGACATGTACAAAGGTATAAACAGATCACATAAATGTGTAGGGCCCGTAACGTCTGGAATTAGGGATGATAATAACAATATTCTGACCGATCCGGTTAATATATTGAATAAGTTTAAGGACCACTTTGGCAATATTTTAAATACGGGAAATTATAATCTGTGTCCTCCTTCTGAGTACCAGAGTGCTGAATCGTTAATAGAAGGACCAAGTAAAGAGGAAGTTGAAGTAGCTATCGGAAAATTAAAATCATATAAAGCAGCGGGAACCGATAATATTCCTACTGAACTAATTAAGGCATGCGGGAAGCTGGAGTTTCTAAAATACATCGGTTGGTTAAAAAGATCTGGGTGAACGAGAAATTACCTGAAGAATGGAAAGAATCTATTCTCATTCCGATTCACAAAAAGGGTCCGAGGACGGATTATAATAACTATTGAGGAATTTCACTCTTTCTGGTATGTTATAAAATATTCACTTTAATCTTAACCAGTCGAATCACGGATTACGCCGAGGAAATTATCGGAGACTACCAATGCGGATTTAGACGGAATCGTTCGACTATTGATCAAATATTTTCTTTACGGCAAATATTAGAGAAAAAAATTGGAGTATAACGGTATTGTTCACCAGATGTATATTGATTTTAAAAAGGCTTACGATTCTATTGACCGCCAGAAATTGTATAATATTCTAATCGAGCAGGGGATTCCAAAAAAACTAGTAAATCTAGTCAGTATGTGCTTGACGGAGACACTCAATAAACTTAGAATCGGTAATAATCTGTCCGAAAAATTTGAGGTTCGTTCGGGCTTAAAACAGGGGGATTCTCTTTCGCCTGCCGTGTTCAATTTGGCATTAGAACATGCCATTAGGGAGGTAATGCGTACCGAGAAAGGGTTGGATCTGGGCGGGACAACATCCGTGCTGGGCTATTCTGATGATCTGGTACTGTTAAGCGAAGACGTTGAAACTATAAAACTAAATACGACATCGTTAATGAATGCCGGTAAAGAACTAGGACTCGAAATAAACGTGGATAAAACAAAATATATGGTTAGCTGCAAAAATGGCGATACTACTGGTGATATCGATATAGATGGTAATATGTTTGAACAGGTAGATAAATTTAGGTATCTAGGTTCTACGATAACTAGAAAAAACGAAATTGAAGAAGAGATTAAGGTTAGACTGAAGGCGGGAAATGCTTGTTATTTTTCTGTGACAAAACTACTTAGTTCGCGCCTCTTGTCCCGGAACTTAAAAATTAGAATCTACAAAACAATTATTTTGCCTAAAGTTCTTTATGAATGCGAAACTTGGCCGCTTACATTAAGGGATGAGCAGCGTCTTAAGGTTTTTGAAAATAAAGTATTGCGTAGAATATTCGGACCGAAGAAGGATGAGTTAACCGGAGAGTTCAGACGGTTACACAACGCCAAATTGCGTGAGCTGTATCCGGGTAATATAATTGAGGTAATTTCATCGCGGCGAATCAAATGGGCTTGTAAAGTTGTTGGGCTTAGTAACGAGAGAATTCCTAAAAGGTTAATATTTGCTGTGCCGAATGGTAAGCGTCCGAGGGGTAGACCGAAGCGAAGGTGGGAAGATTGCATTAAAGCCGATCTGAAGGGACTGGGTTTGGACGGCGAACGGTGGAGGGAGCTGTGTAACAAGCGATTGGTGGTGTCGGCATCGAACCTTCGGGTTCGCTAAGCCTTATTATTATTATTATTATTTTATTAAAAAAAACAAAATTAAAGTTGCAATGATTTCACATTTTATTAATGCATGCTATAGAAGAAATAAAACTAGCTTGTTTCTTAAGACATCTGTTTGGTAAGTTGGAGCTTTATACCATAGGTTTCAGAAATGTTCGAGCTAAGTGAAAATATTCGAATATTAAAAATACATAATTACTAATTTATTTTATTGTGATTTTCTATTACTTTCCTAATATTTTAATTTTCTATATTTTCGTTGTTTTCTACTAGAAAAATACCCAAATTATTTAAAAGATATAATCAAAATCTGACGGCTTGGTACTCAAGTATGACGTTTTGAACATTCTACTGTTAGAGCAAAAAGTCGTATGTAAAAATTCAGTTTTTTTTTTTTTAACAAAACATCATAAAAGCCTTATCTCTTTATGATTTATTTGTATAATTTCATATTTTATTTTCTTAGACTATTTCCATAGTAATAGACTATTTATCGCAGTTTTAGACAGCAAAGTGTCCCCTTTAGCACAAATCGGATTAACATAAAAAATTGTTGCATAGGTCTTTTTGCACAAACAGTAGCGATTTGTCTATCCCGATCTCTTTTGCTTTAGTGTTTATTAAGTCGAACATAATATATCTACGTTAGTGCTTGAGGTTGGCATTTGTAGTATAATTTAATGGTCTACATTTTAACAGAAAATTAAACAACAAAGTCTGCCAAGTAAGGTCAGTGTAGGTTCCTCACCGTTTCATTGGCTAAAATATACAAGGTATTCAAATTTTCGTAAGAGAATTAAATCTATGGGAGAAGATGATTCGGAAATACAGTTACCTTTTAACATTCGCGGGTTTCGAATTTCGTTTATCAGCTAATATTAAAATGCAAAACGGTGCCATATTTGAAAATTCCATATTGATTATTCTTAAAAAAAAATACCTATGCATACTGAACATGCATTTCAATACTGATAGTGCAAAAGGTAGTATGTAAACACTCATTATTTCTTTATGCTTCATTGGTATAATTTCATATGTTATTGTCCTCTGCTATTTTCCATTGTATCAGATTGCTTGTATCTGTTGCAGGTTGCAAAATGTCACCTTTAGCACAAATAGAATAATAGTTGAAAATTTTTAAATACGATCTTTTGCATTAATAGTAGTGATGTATACTTAATAGGCACGTTTTCAGTTCGTAAAATGGATGGAACTAGAAAATCCATAGGAAAAATCAACTTGTTGTTTGTTCGGAGTTAACAAGACCAATACTTTTCTTCATTGAGAACAAAACTAATTAAGCTTGAATATAAAAATATAGTTGTAGTTCACATAACTTCGATATTTAAGGAGGAAATCGAGACCAAGACAAACTTATTGAACATCAATGGAATCAATGGAAACACAATCACAAAAATAGACGGTTTTTTTGTTTACTAATTCAGAGTAAAAATTACTTTAAATTTACTGAAGATTGCACGAAATCTAAGTAAGGCAGTAAGTGTCATGCCAGTAATGTTTGGAATCGACCAAACAATACAGTATAAATTAATTTTTTAATAAAACCTAAAATTTTATAATCCCATAACAATATTATATAACTCCCACTACATATGATGAGTGCCTTCAACATTTCACAGCCATTATATTGTTAACAATTATTTATATTAATTTTGATTATGTAATGGAATTCAATGAAATTGATACTAAGTAATTTCTATACTGTTCCCCAAATTTCTTTCAAGTTTTCGGTCAAATCGAATGTCCAGTTTTCAAACTATAGGCATATCAAATAACACATTTCCTGATCTAAAAGAGGAAGTATTGTTTTTGGAGTTGTAGATAAAATTGATACCTATTTCATTTTACGTTTACTAATCCCTGAATTCTCTCCCAGTTTGAACCAAATCGAACTTGCGGTTTTAGAGATATAGACGTATAAAGGAAAACACATTTGCGCATATATAAGAAAAAGCAATGGACAGTATACAATAAAAATGACCCTTAATTATGTTTTTATAAATACTTACCCTTTATCTAACTTTGAGCCAAATCGATTAGCCTCAGTTCTTATCTCAAAGAGTTAGAATTGACCTGCTTTGACCATTGATAGATTTATGCTGTCATTCTCCAGGAGATGTTGACAATCCTAAACTTAATGGTTGGAACATTATTGTCCATAGTGTCCCATAAAAGATACCTGTTTTTGTACATTGAGCTCCATTCGTCTCAAAAGTTTATAGTCAGCACATGCTTGGTGCATTATTACTTTTAACAAAAAAACAACTTTCCCACGGGAATAGTTACATAATAGCTATCTCCTCCTTTATCATTTCCTATATATTGGTCTCCAAAATATCCTACAGAAAATTCCAAGTTTAGAAGCCAGACATGTAACTTTATTTTAGGCCTTACAATAAAGTAAATTTCTGTTGTATGTGTTCGTTAATTCGCGAGTGAAAATTTTCGATTCTGAGCACAATTTTTTTTTTAATCTCCCGCACGAATACAATGCTTCCCTACCTTCGTTAGTGAGTAAGAAAAATAAGTAGGGCAACACTTATATATTTAATTTAAAAAAAAAAGTAAACATGAAACACTAAACCCAAATAAACAAACTAACTGAGAACTGTATTTTAACAGTAAAATTAAATCCATATGTCATGATTAGTTTTTTTTCTATTATTACAATTGTGCTTTTCAGGTTAGATTTGATATATTCCATTAATTTTACAGAGAAAACTATTTTATTTTTTTAAACTTTGAAATGAAACTTATTTTTAACGGAGACTCGAAAATTTCCTTATGGTTTAATCCAATCTTCAGGAGATAGCTTTCACCAATGCTATTTGCATTGCAATGGATAGCAAAAAAGACTCTGTAGAACAAGATTCCATACATTCCCTTCACGATAAAGTAGAGAAATGGCTGACGACTTACTTCAAACGAGGAGAAGTAGCTCTAAGAAACACAACGGAGGAATGCTGGGTAATCATCAGAGGGATTGTGAGGGATGTGACGCCAGTGGTGCAGAAATATATCACCAAGAGCTGTGTTCGCCCAGTCCTCGCTGAAGCCGGCAAGGACATATCCCATTGGTTCGACAACAAAGGAGAAGTAGGTACCACTTAACTATACAAGTATATATCGATCGATATTGGCTGGAATTATTGCAGTCAGTTGATAATTGCGGTTAGACATATATCATAATCCGAAATAACACTCCTGAAGTTGGGAGAACTTCTACCTCATTTAAATCATCCAACGCTTTAATATTTTTAGAAATGATAAAATAAAAATCAGTATTAGTTCATAAAACCACTTGGACAAACGTCTAACTTAGAATCCTCATACCAGATTGAAACAACAAGAAACCGCTCGACGTTCCCGACTACTCCATCACTTACTAGACAAGCCCTTTCAGCTTCCAGTTAATTACCTAAGACTCATATACATGACTACAATAAGACCTATTTGGACTTACGGAGTTGTGCTTTGGGGCTCCACTAAGCCATCGAGTTCCTCTCGTATCCGATCCTTAGTAGAAAAATCCTCAATGCTCCTTACTTTGTTACCAATAAAATAATCCATAACGACCTCAATGTTCCTTATGTTTCTGATTTGGCCCAATCCAGATATCTATCCTTTCAAAATAAACTTCAGAACCATCCGAATCCTCTCGTCTCTAACCTTGCTTCCTCTTCTATCCCTGATAAACCTCCGAGGCGTCTGAAAAGAAGATGGCCTCGACGTCTCCTATTGTAAATACATTTTTTTTTTTTTTTTTTAGAGTGCCACCAGTGGGTAGTTTCTGAACAAGAGATTTCATGTTATTATTTTCTGTTATAAAATTTACTAAATGTAATTTATTTATTAATACAGTTGTAAACGCCATAAATAAAATAAAATAAAAAAAGGTCATAAGCACCTGTAACATAAATAAGGAAATGCTCATGTAGATCTTAGATCACCAGAATCAAGCTTAATATCATCTTTGTTGATTCTTTCCTTCTGATTGTTGACCTTCTACTTGGTCTCATTCCAACATTTGAGGATTTCGTTGTTGTTTAGAGGGTTCCCCATGATTTGCTTCGAACATGTCCTGACCAGCTTAACCTTCGCGCCTTTATGTCATGAGTATTTGACTTTTGACAATTATTAGAGAGAGGGGGGGGAGGAGGGGAGGGCTGGATGAATGAGGCTGAAGGTGAGCTGTGGCGGGGACCACATCAAGCCTGTGTCACTGGCACCAAAGTAGGACACCGTTAAACAAATTCTACTACATCTGCTAGTGGGTATGTTCATGAAGTTCATACTCTAGAAATTTGTTGGGATGAGAGGGGAGCTAAGCCCCCACAACGGCAGCAATGGAGCGGGGTATCTTTATTTCAATGTGTTAGTATTCATATCACAGACCGTCCTGTTAATCGCCCGGATTATATTCCCTTCAAAACTTTGTCTCTGTTATGTTGTGGCAGAACGGAAAAGTCATCATAAAATTGTGCATCCTTGATAAGAATATATACATTCAAAATAATTTAAGGGAAAAAATAATAAAATAATGCAGACAACAGAAAAAAAAAGAAAGTTTTTTGGATATCAATCTCAGTCAATTTCGCTTTATATCGGAATGATTGCACATTAGATATAGTTTAGAAGAAGAAACCAGGATTAGTACTCGTTAAAATGACATTTATCAAGCCATAGTTTGTGGTTCATGAATTCTATCTTTAATTAAATTTTATATTAAATTGTATCAGTTTTGCTTAAACAATCTCACAGTTTTCAGATATTTAAAATTTCTAATAATTACACAGATGGCAGTCCCCTATATAAATATCTTTGCTTATAGACAATTTCATTTCGGTTCTTATTACTCGATTTCTCAAGAAAACCTGAGGAGCCGTAACAATTTTTGTTCTTTCTCGGAATTCCATTATTGACATAGCTTCCTTTACTAACTCGGGAATGGTTGCATCTGAAGGCAGAGCACGTTACTACAAAACCTTCGCCCGTCTGATTAGTTCCACAGTTTGGTTTGTTCATTGTCTCATGAAAAATTATTTTTAGAGTATCTGTTTATGATATTTTATGTGTATAAAGGTTAGTTCAGAGGAGCGAAGTTAAGTTAATGTACCGTATTTTAGTTAAGATAAAAAAATTATATAGTCCTATATCTTAATAATAACATCTAAAATTAAGGATCCTAATTATGAAGTAGAGTTCTGCGCATGCGCTTGATTTGATTGCCACGTTTCTACATCGTCTCTTACAGTTTCTATTTTTTTAAGTGGAAAAAGTTTACTTTTTTTTACTCAAAAACTATTAACGCCGAGATCAACACACCAGCAACAACAATGGACTAATACCACAGTGAGTAGTGTTGATATTTACTGTGTATTCTATAGACAGTGAAACCAGTGTCCGAGGTGCTTTATTGCTAGCCTTATCTGTCATAGTCTGATACTGCCCACTATAGCAGTCGTGGCTCTGCCACGGATGAAGACGGACGGAGCTGTGCTCGTCGTTTCTCCGAGTTCAAGGACAAGCAGACGAAGTTTTATTTTCCTTTTTTTTTTTTTTTTTTTTTTTTTAGATGCGATATTTTCATCAAGTGATGTCCACTAAAAGGTCTTGTTCTGCTGGCTCCACCCCTCGTAACTCACCACCTAAACAAAAAACTCGTCGCAGTAAGCGATCGACACCCCCCGGAACTCCTCCAGCGAAAATTCAAGATTCCACACCACAACCGCAAGCAGGTACCTCTTCACAACAAATGGTGTCTGAATCTCCAATTTTTACACCCAATCCATACCAGGTGCTTCAAAATGACAGAGAGGAGATGGATTCTGCACCGATACCTAGAGAACCACGGCCTCCTCCGATCTTTATCAAAAATATTAGAAATTTTCAATTATTATGCACCCGATTAAATACAATCTGTCCTGATAGCTTTTCATGTCTTAACAGGACTAGCGACACAAAAATAACACGGGCCACACCTGAAGCCTATCGAAAAATAATCAAGTATTTGACCGAAACAGGTGCGGATTTTCACACATACCAGCTGAGGGAGGATAGATCATTAAGAGTAGTGATAAGAAACTTACACTCCTCAACCCCAACTGAGGTTATCAAGGATGAGCTAACGGCGTTAGGGTTCAATGTTCGCCAAATAACAAACGTTCTGAAAGAAAATAGAGACCAACCAGGAGTAAAAACTAGAATTCCACTGCCCATATTTTTTGTGGATCTGGAGCCAACACCAGGGGTGGAAAAAATATACGACATACATCGATTATACTATACCATCGTAAAGGTTGAAAAATCATATCCGAAAAAAGAAATCATCCAGTGCCACAATTGTCAGGCATACGGCCACACTAAGTCATATTGCCACCACATGCCGCGCTGCGGCGAATCACACAAATCTGGAGAATGTACCAAACCAATAAAAGATCCTGCAGTCTGCGCCCTATGCTTGGCGGGTCATCCGGCCAACTATAAAGGTTGTGAAATCTATAAAAACCTCAAAGCTAGATACAAGCCCCGGAACCACGATGCTACACCTAAACAAAGAAGAGGACCTGCTAAAATCGTGGACTCTAAAGTTTCCTTTGCTAAGTTACTCGGAGGTAGAGACCTGACTAATGAATGTGAGACCCTGCCGGTACAACCAACTCAATCCCTACCTCAATATCATATCCCTCCTAAGTTTTGCTAGTTTTTCTTCTCCCATAATTATGTTAGATTTTGAGATCACTAAATACTTAAATGAACTTGACTATACCTCAGAAATCTTCAAGTTTCGGCACCAGTTATGATTCGACTGAAGAAATAACAACACAGCTTGTGGGAATAAAGTGGTTTTATTTCGAACTCTTACATAAGTTTTAGTTTTCTACACTGTATTAATACAACACTTTTGTAACCTCACCTTTTGTTTATATAACAATTCTCTAAATTAACATGTGTTTTAAACAATTATTTAGCTTATCTAAAGAATAATCTTATATACATCCTATATACAGTTAACTTATATATATATATATATTTTTTTTTGTATAGTCATTAGTAATGCATTTTGAATGATGTTTCAGGTTTTACATAATAATAACTACCATTTTTATATATGCTATTTCTTGATTATTTAACACCTGCTCCTTAGTGCAACAAATAAATTATATATGTTACAGTCATTAATAAATTTGTTGGCCTATACATTTAAAAAATAAACCATTTCAAAATATGTAAATACTTCTATTTTTATTAAAAATATTTTTAATAATTTAGAAATATTTTGAAGATTGTAAAAAAATATTAATAATCTAGAACTTTAACAAAAAATAAATCTAAAGAAAAACTACAATATAATATAAGTACTGAAGTGTAACATGAGAGTTTGTGAATGATTATTTTTTTAAATTATGCTGTAATATTCGAAGTTAATACATTAACTTTATGCATATTGTATATACCTTTTACTTTCTCCCCCTTTTTTTTATTTAGCAGGTTTATAATTATTTTATTTATGCATGTAAAATTTTTGAAATATTGTATTATAATTGATGTAAAATGGGTTTATCAATATTAATAAATTAGCTTTGCGGAAATATTTATTAATCACGGATTCCCAAATACAGAATCAAATAAATAAATTCGATTATCCAAAACACTAGTTACATATCTTACAATCACATTATAGCACAAGTATTGTCTTTCCAGTACCCTAGCACAACAATACAAATTAATTAAATTTAACAAGGAAATCTCTTTTAATGCTTAATGAAGTCTAAAATGAAATTCTACAACAAAAATTTTTACTTCTACTTATAATAATAATAATAACCTTTATTTGTGCATACAATGAAAAAACAATGGATAAAAATATACAAAATCTCTTATATGTACAAAATCAACTTAGTTAAGGTTTTGAGTTCGATTTCTTTCTTTTTTTTTTTTTTATATTTGACTTTCTTGTAACCACACTAGGTAATGAACCTGTCCCATCCTTTTCCATTCTTTCCTCTCTAATGCTACTCTCTTCCAGGCTGCTCCCCCGCAGGTCTTCTTCATCTCCTTGTCCCAGTCTGTCGGCGGGCGTCCTCTCTTCCTCA